TTGCCAGCATCAAAGCTCTGACTTTGGAAGGTAAATGTGTTGAATTGATCTACTTTAGCAACACAGGACATTTCGGTACATGGTGTGAAAGCTGCTGCCAATCTCCACATGTTCATTCTCATGTTCAAAATACCATTTACGGCTGATTTTTCAACCATATCCGGATACATTAGCAGATATTTAGCATGAAAAAAGGGATTGTGAGTGTGCTTGCCCCAAAATCTTGATGCATACTGTCACAGTCCAGATTACACAACAACAGTGGTCTAAGTTCACTGCAAAGTATTGCCAATGTGCACACATTCCCATTTTTTAAATTTCATTTCTCACTACTGCAACATGTGGGAGAAATGTAGATTATAAAAACATGCTGTTGTGTATTTGATCATTCAATGACTGGAATAAGAATCCTGGTGTTTAATCGTTCCATTTGTCAGCAGCCTGCAGAAACTTTATGATGCTAGATTTGGATTTGAGATGACATCCACTCCTACAGAACATAAGCACTTGGACCAAACCGATAGATTGACACTTTTAAAAAAAGGAACACCTTTCTGCAAATGCTTCTTTAGGAAAACCGTTTTCTTCATTCATCAAGCTTATTTGTTATAGTCACTTGTAGCCAGAATGGGAGCAGCCAAATTAAATGATGTAATGTTCTGTCTGCCCTTTGCTGTCTTTTGCTGATCTGTTTTTCATTTTTTTCATTTATTCGAGATAACTGGAATTTGTACACATACAAAGACAAAACAGTGTTACCTTTAAGCTTGTCTTATCATTGCTAACCCACATGTTTGTTCTATGCAGTGACCTCAATGTTCGGAGTATGTATTCAAACAAATTCCTCTGTAATTTGTATTTTCTGATGGCTAGACACGCCGTTTTATGCATATTGCCAGGGTCCAGTAAAAGCCTTTGTATCAACTTTTTTTGTTTTCTTCAAATGCGTGCCACCCAACGTTTCACCCTAAAACAAACAAGATTTTCTCTCTTTCTGAGAGTTCTGTTTTGGAGATAAGGTTTCATTTAGACTACATCAAAGGTTCACATTCCTATTTACAGGTAACATATTGTATTTTTCTTTTCTTATTGTGATGACAATTGTGTATCCCCAAACAAGCCCCTTTCTTATGAATTTCATAACGACAATGTGGCTTTTTGGAGAAAGTGAAGTTTCTACATGTCACTGGTGATGTTATTGTAAAGTTGTACTTTTATTTGACCATACATGCTTTTTCTTTTTCTTGCTATCAACGGAGCATTTTTCCATTAGAACACAAGCCCTTAGGATTTCTGTCTTCTTCAAACACTGATGACTATCTTCATAGCTTTCCAACTATTCTACATATACAGACAACTTCTTACAGTGTACACTAATAAAGCTGTTTTAATTCAACTGAAAATGGTGTCTTGTGTTGCATTTCTGAATTGGTGTTTTGTGATGGTGAGTGAGGGCAATGTAATATCATTTACAAAGCATATCTATAACTGCAGAAGACACACACTAATTATTAGCAGTAGTGGAACATGTATTGATATATTTTACTTTCTGTTGTCAAAGTCCTTCACTGAGATAGTACCAAACTGTATAAAGTATTCATGATGCTGGAAAATGTCACCTGCATTTATTTTACTGTCATATATTGCTACTGCATTTATTAATTAATAACGGTGTTGCTGTTAGAGCACACTTTTACTCTTTTATATGCTGTGGTGTGCCTACTCAAACTTCTAACATTAAGTATGTAACGTGAAAAGCACAATATTTATATCTGTGATGCAGGCTAGGCTCATGGAGTAGAAGTAGTAGCAGAAAAAGGAAATACTCCAAATCACTAATTCATATAAATTGTAATAAAGCACAGTACTTTAATGTACTTGGATACATTTTACCACTAATGCAAGACTAGGTATGTCTGGAAATTGACATCCTTGTTTACGTTTGCTTTAATTTTTCATGGGACAATGCAAACGGGTATGAAGTAGATACATACAATAAAAACACTACATTGGATTTAAAATATCAGTTCACGTCTAAGCGTATCCTAATCTAAATGTGTTTATGTCACTGAATGTTTGGCCATATGGTAGGCTGTGTCAGATTGACCAATAGCGGGCAGGTAGAGGCGGGGCTACTCAATTAATTGGCTGAGCAGGAACCAGGAGAGAAGAAGGTGAGCGCATTTTTCGCGGGTTTTTTTAGCTGACATTTGGAGAAAATTAGCTGGGAGCCATTGCTAGAACTGTTTAGTGGCTACACCCCGAACTGTCTGCTTATGTAAATTCCTTGTTATGTTGTTCTTGTGAAGGCTACGGACTGAGGTCAACAGTAAACCTTGAAGGAACTTTTATATATAGCCTACAGTTAGTGGTGTAGTGGGGATTTTTTTAGTGGGTGGACGGGGTGGTGAGTGGACGGGAGACACTCGCGCTCATGAACTGTCAACGGGGGGGGGGGTGGGGAACTCTGTGTCCGGCTGGTCACGCACTTACATGATGCCGTTTTAGACAATATATGAATAAAGGGGGCCCGGGTGCCGGCTGTCAGCGAACAGATCAGCCTTTCTGCGCCACTATCACTCAAATGCAGTCTCAATGTTGGGACGCGGGAATAATAAAAATGCTGTGTTGTGCAGTCCCGCAACAGGTGCGGGACACCTGGTCAACCCTACCAACACGGTTCTGCCCCTCACACACACCGCTTCAAATCAGTTGCATAAATGCTTGAGCTACGTTTTTATTATATTGGCCTAACTGTGAAATCTGCCTATTATGGTTTTCGTCATTAATACACAAACACACACTTGCAACTGATACACTGGCAATGACTTTTAGATTATTAGCTATTAAAAAAAGAAATCATGCTTCAAATATGGGAGTACGGTGTACCCCCGCGTCCACGCCCCTACACCATCTGGCCTACAAGTCTATGAAGGTAACACCTTTTGCGGCTGCTATTTGGGGTCTGGTAACTGCTAACACTTGAGGGTAAGCCAAAACAAAATTCCAACAAAAATATGACTTCAGAGAAGTTAAATATCATTATTTCATTTTCGAAAACACTTACGGTTTTTAGCTTCTTCAACAAAGCTGTATTTGATCCACATTGAGCTTTAGTAAGCCCTAGCTGTGCCTCTCATGTTATAGCAAAGTAAGTTAGGCATGTATATCAGGCTATGGTTAGCTATAATGTAGCAAAACAGAGGCCCTATGATTGAAGTGAGTCCATACCATAGACTGTATATATAAAGGTCCATATTCATTGATTGCACACATTAAAATACGTGGCAGGACTTCATATACATTCTGTTATAACACATAAGGCAGAAGTATAGTTGTTCAACAGTATTATTATTGGCATTTCCAAGCACGCCTCTTATTTGTTGGTGTCAACAGAAAAACATTGTCCCTAAACATGTCTATGCCTTTCTCTATACTTGCAAGAGAGATGCACAACCAACATTAAAAATTACTTTTTCTTTTCGTTTATACCAAAAAGTAAAGATTAAAAATATTGCAATTGAATGCGTTTATCTTATCAGTTTAAATAAATACAAGATACAGACTTAATTTGTGTTCAGTTGGCGCTTTATGTAATACAATCAAACGAGCCAGTAAGGGAAGGTAGAACTCACGCATTAATGATAGACCCCCTGAGTGATGAAGTTTCTATTCTCAGTTGCACCTGTCTCTAATTCGTTTGTTAGNGCACAACTGATTGCAGCAGGTGAGTGGAGGTTGAGCCGGGAGCCAGGAGTGACAGCCACCACGCACACACAAACAACACAGACAGGGGGAAACAAACAATTTGTTTGTTTCCCCCTGTCTGTGTTGTTTGTGTGTGCGTGGTGGCTGTCACTCCTGGCTCCCGGCTCAACCTCCACTCACCTGCTGCAATCAGTTGTGCACCCTCTCCGACTACACACCTGCTTTCTATCGAGCCATTTACAACGGCATATCAACGGAGGCTCCACAACCTTTCTCCGCCAGATCGTCAAGTATCAGCCGTATCTCGCGTCCCCCCTCTGGTTAGGGCTGTACCCGAATATTCGACTATTCGAATATTCGTTCGTTGGCCAACTATTCGGGTTTCAATTTCATTATTCGGATATTCGTTTCTAAATGTATGCTATTAATAAAGGCGAATTGCCATATTCGTATACTATATTTATACTTTTGAATTGCACTGTCAAAATGCGGAAATATATACAATCTCAGCCTGTGCTCCTGACATCGCGTTCACTCACAGTCACGAACGCAAACGGCACACTTCACCTCGCTTCACCTCGTTTCCACCCACAAAATGCCGAAGACTTCAGCTGTGTGGGACCATTTTAAATTGGACGATGGTAAGAAAAATATGTGCCAGATATGCGATAAGAAACTGGCCTACCACTGTGGCACAACAACTCTGAAAAGTCACCTGGATGCTGTAAGTAGTAGCCTAGCTTAGCTTAGCTGTTGTCAAGTTGCCATGATGAAGCTGCTTTATCCGCCGTTTAAACAGTAACGTTACACATGATAAAAACGTGCACTTACTTTGCTTGGAAAATAGTTGCAAGCAACCGAATTGTTCTTTTATATTAGTTTTTTTAATTTTATCCGAATAGTGAAAATAATAGGAGTAATGTGGGAACATCTGGGGCTAAGGCAATTATTGGCATAAAGTTGAGTAGCTCAGCCTAATAATAACTTGTGTCCATAGGTGCATCCCAGCCATCAACATCCTCAACAATACAGCAGACCCTACAGTTACCCAACAGAGGACACATTTAGTTTTAATGTTTGCGAGTACTGAGACAATAAATAAATATAAATCGTAATAGTATGCTCTTTCTGGGCTTCTGCAAGCAGATTTACATATTTTACTTGCAACTACAATGACACTGTATATAAAAAATATACATCAAGTAGCAATCTGTCTTATTCATCCCTTAGGGGCTTCTTTTCAGATGTCTAGGGCATATTCTAGACCAACAGATACATCATCATGCCACACACATGATTCCACCATCGTCCAGCAGGGGACAGTACTCACTTGCGCTTGTTGTTTTTCTTGCTTGCTGCCTTCTTGCCTGATGCTACAGGACCTGATGTTCCTCTGCTGCTCTTGGATTTTGGGGTCTTGGTGATCTTAGGGGTCTTGGGCGGTCTAATGGGTGTCACCTCTTCCTCTATCTTCCGATGCTTTTCCTTTTCTACCTTTTTCTTCTTTTTCTTGTCCTTCTTATCTTTCTTTTTTTTGGGTTTGACGATGGGGCCCTGTGAGAGTGCAGTGAGCTGCTCGTGTACGGCTTTTAGCTGAAGAGCGAAAGAAAGACGGATATGTTATGATTACTGATGGAAAGGCATATGAAAATGATTTAATATGTTGTGTGTGTCACGCGTGTGCAAACACTGGAGTACAAACCTGTTCCTGCAGCTCTGCCAGCCGGTTTGCCCTCTCCTCCTCAGAGTCAGAGCTGGGGCTGCTCTCGCTCTCACTTTCACTGCTGACCTCGCTCTCAGATGAGGATGAAGAGGAGGAGGAGGAAGATGAGGAGCTAGGGGGCGCTGGTGGCTCGTCTGGCATCTTAGCAAAGCAGAACTCAAAGACATCCTAAAAGGATTAAACAGATGGTGAGGATCAATAATAAAAAAACAAGAACAGTGATGATTCGAGGGAATGAGAAAACACAATCAGTAAAATTGAATTATGTGTTAAAAGGAGTATAAAAAATAGTATCACTGAAATAAGTGCATTACCTGCAGCTTTCTGGCCATGCCCACAACGTCATGATCAGGAGGGTTGTACTTGTAGCAGTTGGAGAACATCAGTCTAACATCAGCCGAGAACTGCTGGGAGTCACGATACTCTCTGCTGTCCATCTTCCGCTACACACAATGAGAGAGGAGATTATAGGTACATTCTAAACTTGCCAAGAACAGTTCATCAAGTTAATTTTCCCCATACCACAACAGGTTTCCTTAACTTAGACCAAGAAAAAGTGCTTCTCTGTTCTGAAATGTTAATAATTAAGTGTGTTTATAGTGAGTACCTTCATAGTGCTGAGGTCCATGGGCTGCTTAATGATGTCGTGGTAGTCGTGGAGACCAAGCATTGAGGCATCGACAGGCTTGTAGAACGGCCAGGCGTACGCTGCATGCTTCTTGGACAGCAGATCCTTCAGGACTCCATTGCAGTATCGCAGCTGGGGATTCAGCTTGCTGCGGCGCACCGGTGGTGGCACCATGGAATCTGGCAAGTCCTTCTTGGGGGGCTTGATGGCTCGTCCACTCACTCCTCTCCTGCTCCCGGATGCTGATTTGCTACCCATCATTACTGTTCCACAGCCCATACCCATACTCATGCCCTGGTTCATCCCAAGGCTGGAGCTATGGTCTACCCCAAGTGAAGTGAGGGTGAGCGGGGAGTTGTGCCCACCGCCCATCCCCATGTTGATGCCACTGACACCCATGGTGCTCATGATGGGCATGGCTACAGTGGTTGGGGTGGTTGTGTCTGCTTTCCTCTTCACACCTTTTTTCTGTGAGGAAAAATAAGATGTATGGGTGAGTCGGGGAAACACGTTTTGTGTATGGTCTCCATTAACAATTATCGATTAATTTACTATCGTTACCTTAGTGGTTGGCTGTGTTGGAGGAAGACCAGTAATGGTGGGGATGCTTTGTTCAGTTGTAAGAATAGGGGGCAGACTTTTGGTCATGTGTGTCTGTGGGGGGGTGGAAAGCATGGAGTCAGGTGTTTCCGGAGTGGGCGGTGAGTATGCTGACTGGGAAACAGCCGGGACCTGATGAGCTGTAGTCACTCCTCCGGAGACTGCAACCGACAGGGCGAGGGTAAGAGAACAGGAAGGAGTGAGATTGCAAAATAGATTAAAGTTATTTATATAATACATGTCTTTATTTATTTTTTTAATAATTGGCTAAACTGTATGTGTGAGTATGGCAGACTTGAGATGCCTGGTTTGATTGCCTGCTTGCATTACCTCTGCCTTTTCGGCCAGGTTTTCCTGGTTTGATCCGCCCTGTGGGAGAAGCTAGCTCTAGTTCTTCCTGAGGCATCTGAGCGACTTTCTGAAGGAAGGCCTTCTCCAGAGACTGAGCCATCAGTACTATGTCATCTGTAGGCTAAAGAGAGGGATATAATGATTCTGACAGTACAAAGATATACATGCTATTACATATAAAAATAATTTTTGGATTCAATATACTGAATTTTGCATCTTTACTTTCAACGACGGCCACATGTAAGAGCAAACAATAGCAGCTGGCATGAAACATAATCTTGTTAGTGCCCCAGGCTCAAACAAAGTCTTACCTTGTTATAAATGTAGCAATTGGTAAACATGGTGTTGAAGTCCTGCATGCACTCACTGGCACTGCGGTAGAAGTAATTTTCTAGTCTCTTCTTTATAGTGCCCATGTCCATGGGAGTTTTGATGATCTTATGATAGTCCTGAAAGGGGTCAAAAAGACACTTTCATAAGATCAGAAACTTCTTTAGTGTTAAATAAATTAAATTATTAACATTAAATAAAATCCGACACAGTAGATTTCACATGGTATATTAGTGATGGTGAAACAAACCTTTCAAATGTTAATATTTAGGAAATGCTGTTTTATAGAAATAACCGTCCCTCCTCTTAACAGAATGCAAGTCTTGTAATTACTAGTAAGCACACTCACAGGCAGGCTGAGCTTGGTCGCATCTACGGGTTCATGGAAGGGCCATGCAAAGTGGTGCCTCCACAAAGACTTGATCAGGACTTTCTGTAGGAACTGAAGTTGGTTAGTCATCCTCCCCTGCCGGTGTGGGTCTTTCACCATGGGCTGTGGGGGTCCTGAAGACATCAAAAGACTGAGCGGGGGCATCCCAGGACTCTCAAAGCCCTCATACAGAAGGGAAGGTTTTCTGATGCGTTTTCCCGCTGTGCCAGAACTCTGGTCCATCGTTGTGACTCCCATTATGCCAACCTCAACCCCGACATGGGAGCTGTAGAGAGCAGTTGAAAAAACCAATTAACTACCAGGAAGATGTGCTACAGGACTGGTATGTCTCCAATGCTGAACTATGTTTGATGTTCACCTTAACAAATTCATTAATAGTAAAACTTAATATCCAGGTTCTAATTTCCAAGTATTAGCAGAAACATATATGCCGTATATTTATTCCCATAAATACTGTGGATAATACAATGAATTAACGTGCATGTCAAAATTACAAAATGTTGTCTTGCTGGCATATTTTGAGTGGTTTCAAACTTGATCCATATTTCTTTGCCTATAACACTCACAAAATACAGTAATAAGAAAATGTACAGTCTGCCTACCACTCCTTCCGCTTTATGTCTATCAATAAGAGCGGCAGTAACTCCTCCCTGTTGATATGTGGAACAGGAAATGCCAATGATGTGTTATGTTCGGTAATACAAAAATGTATTATCCATCGCAAGGTTTTACCAATCATTTTGCAACAATGAGTTAACATCTTGCTGTGTTGTATGCTGTACTGGGATATTGCTAGCCACTGCAAAAGGGTAGTTATAAAGGTTGTTTCCACAAGGAAAGCATTAGAATGCTCTGATATTATGGACGGGAAATATATATTTAACTGATTTTTTTTTTTTTAAATCATGTGAATATTGTGCTGTAGCAAGTATTAAGACCTGTGTTACTACAATGGGAAGGCTGTACAACTTCTAAAGCCGCTTTGCATTGATACAAGGTGTATGACATACACTTGCAAGTAGAGTAAAATGCCTCATCCCAGTTCTTCTGGCTTCCTCCACTGGTAGTTATGTTTAGATGTCAGGGAAACGTTCACTCCCCTGATGACAACAGCATGAACTCGTATAAACGTTTAGCCTAACAAAACTTTAAAAGCAAAACACTCTTAAACAACAAAATTGTATTTATATAAAGTTGATCTTGCTGGTTTTGAAGCAACAGGTAGTATTCCTGAGATTGTATCATGTGAGAAAAAGTACCTACCGGGGCAGGTGTATGCTGTACCACCGTATTCCATACATCTACTCATAGCACTAAACCACTGTTTATAGACAGATATGGGCTCCTCAGTAAAAGGTTAACTTTGTCATCACAGAAGGGAATTACATATGCAGAGATGGCAAAGCGTACATTTATCTACACTCTTTCAATTTTGTTGGCAGTTTGTTGACAGTTTTTTTTGAATAATACAACTTTGGGAAACACATTTGACAGTTAGTGTACTTTATTATTTTAAAATGGAAAGTGACCATGTACATAACAATAACAACACTAAAAAAAAAACATATTTCACGTTTGCTGAAATGTAGTTGACAAAGTTAGTTATTAAAATAAAATTGGGTATATGTCCAAGGAAATTAAAAAAAGATGAGATTGAAGTACAGTGGAGTTATGTTATAATAATGTGAAACCTAACGAAAACCTCATAATCAAAGTTGCTACCTATTTTGAGTGACATTGAGCAAGGTAACCAGGCAACCAACTGAAACAGCCAACACACATGGGTGGTTAACCCTTGCATAGTAATGTGCCGTCGTACCGTTGATCACAACAACCACTACCCGTCACATGGCTACAATAACAAACTAGTTAAACCCGCTACAAGTTATCGTTGTAAGCACACAACTCTGACTCTTATTGTTTTGGGTAAGACAGCTTATGCTCGTCAACACTATGGTGCTGTTAGCAGCCCGTATAGAACATGTTACGGTCCCAGAGCTTACGTTAAGTGTTGAGAACGTGTCATGAAGTTTAGAACAAAACGCTTAATTACAAACACTACCTACAAAAACGTTGATCTTTCAGGCACTGTTCTACAGAAAATGGGTTTTGGTCTGTAATGCTAATGCTAGCAATGTTAGCACTGCAGGGCAGCGGGAGAGAGCGGCCAACGGCTGAGGCGCTCAGAAGATGGCGCCGGCGTAGTGCGAACAACAGTCGCAGCTTGTTTCAAACCAAACACAATTAATTTCCTCGCCATTAATGCATCTTCTAATCCCTTTCAAGACCAGCTAGATCCTTCCTGTAGCATATTCGTTGTTTATTTCCCTTTTCCGGTCCTATTACAGCAAACACAAGCCAACAGCAACGACCATTTTTTTTTAGATAAAATCATAAGAAATGTTTATAATATTCCCTCTGGTGGAAAGCTGATAGTCAATTTTACCGGTAGATACCTTTCAAGGAGCGGGTTAACGGCCATATCCATCAGGATGGATCCGGATTCTGTTTTTAGCTAGACTCAGACCTGGATCCGTCTCTGTTCGTCAGTTATCTCCGCTCCCCGCCACGGCGAACTCCTTTAATCAGCTTCGTTGAAATGGCGACAATGCGACTACACCCGTTATTTTATAGACCAACCGTTCACCCTATTGGATAGACTACGTCAGCCTACTCACGCCCTCTGAATTGCTATTCGTTGCCTACCACGTCAGTCAAAGTCACCACACCCCTAGATACTGACGCGTCACTGACAATCTTTAGGGCCAACCTATTCGCAAGTTTCTTCTGTCCGTCAAAGATAGAGAACAATACCATTGGCCCAGCCTATTCTGTGATGCAGAAATGCTGTTGATAAATGGCTCCTCAATTTAATCCTGTACAATATGTGAGGGTACCGACACCACCCTCCTCCTTCTCATATTACATTACGTCAACGTGTGCAAAACAACAGCGGGGATTGGTCAATGGGTTTGTAACGCGGGCTTCTAGGGTAAATACCAAGAAGCCCATTGGTTCAAGCGCCAGGTCACGCGAACCCCATAAGAGCCTCTCCCACGAGCTCTATGCTTAGCAGAATATCCGCATTTCTGTCTTGCACAAGAGTTGCACACCCGCCATCTTAAGTACAGTGACACATAGTAATATAATACTATTCGTTATAATAACTACGATAAAACATGAAGGAAAACGTACAAAATGCTACACATATTGCTTAAAAGCACGAGTATAATAAACAGCGTTCATCTGTTGCAGAAAAAGCCCAACATTTTAGAGGACAAGGCCTCCATGGCTTACAAACGCCACCACATTACTAGGATCAAGTCCAGAGCCTAAAACTTCTGACTGCATGTTTAACGACGAAACTATAGCCCCTGTTTACCTCAACGACTAATAACAACACCACACCTAGACAGGATCATAAGAACTAACAATATCCATTGAATGACACAGCAGTTTTCTCATTGACCTCAGACCACATTCATTTGATAAAAGTATGCTAATGCTGCATTTACCAAATGAATAAGAAAATCCCACTGAAAAATGTGTTAAAGAATTGGGAATTAAAAGCGAAAATCTATGTTGCAGTTTAAAAATGCTAATACCATGGCTGGTCTTTCAAAGTAAACCAAAAAACAAGATAAAATCAAAATAATAAACAGACGCAAAAGTTACTAAGACTTTTGATCTTTAAAAGCGACCGACACTATCTGGACATTTCAACAACCACACAAAATGGTTACCTAACCACATGCCCCCATCCCCCACACCAAGGTTACAAATTCCCCACAATGTCACTCAAATAAACTAGCAAAAGAAACACCATGTTCTCGAAACGTTAAATATGTCTACAGTTCTAAAATGTAAAATCTAAGTAGATTCAGTTTAAAATAAAAGTCACATTATCAAAAAGAGATTGTTTCAAAAGTACGACATAAAAACCTTAAATAAAAAAGATATATGAATAGCGACTGGTAGATCCCAAAATAATGCGAAACTTTCTTCAAATAATCTTCTTGTCTTCCACCTCGATACTTTTTAACCAACACATTTCCCTCAAACATGTCCGCCTTCTTCACCGATCCCTGCGCTGGGTGGGGGAGGGGAGTCATGTGATGAAATAAGGCTGAGCGAACGGAATCAAAACTTCGACACGAACGCATTAAAAAAGATCCACATGGTGCATTTTGCTATAAAAACGTACCCTCCATAAACACATCCTGTGATTTATACAAATTATAAGGCTCAGATTTCGGGATAAAGTTGGCAAAATACCCGAACAAAGAGCATACTTTCCGCTGGATCTGGCTCCCTCCGATTGGTCAAGTATGACCACGTGACAAAAAATATTTTAGTATCATTGATTGTGGTATTTTCAAAGCTTCCTCTATTGTAATCCATGTATGTGGTCGCAGTAATCCTGAATCTGAATCATGTGTAGTTTCTCTGTTTGTCTCAAAAGGGTTAGTAACGTCGGTTTTCTCCTGATGAAGATTGCTGTCGAGCTCAGTTGTGTTGCAACACAAAGCATTGCGCATGCGTCCCTCCCTGCCATGAAGACCCATTGGCAACGATGCACTGAATACACGAGGCTGATCCAAGAGCAGTTTCGGGTTTTTTCATAAGATATTCAATTGGTGTTCCCTGGAAAGGAGGGGATCCAGCTGCAGAAGAACTGACGAGTGTTGGCTTTCAAATTAAAGCAGGAAGAAGTCGCGTAACGCATACGTCTCTGGTTGGGTTAATGAAAGATGCTTTTCAGAATGATCATTGTTATAGTTGGTTCTGGTTGGGATGTGGATAGGATCACAGAAATACGGGGAAATGTAAGGTATTTGTCATATATTAATTGATTTATAACTGAATGGGATGTAATGTGTTTATTAATACTTGTTCATTATGTTCTGTTATATCTATTTATATTATCAAATATTATATGAAACTATGAAATAAAAACAATCATGCAGCTTTTCCCTATATTCTCTGATTTATTGTACCACTCACACCATTTCTGTTAACTAAAGCCTGAATTATCAATGTTTTCAAAAAAGGGGTGACCAAATTGTAATGCCATTGAAACTAAAAGGAGTGGTAAGCCGTCAACTGCTGGTCCTCAACTGATCTGTAATTAGATAATGTGCACAGTAAGTTTTGTTACCGCCGGTAAATCGCTATGTTGTGGGGAACCATGGTACTTCCTTGAATATCCACGAACAGCCTTGGAGGCAGGGGAATTGGAAAAAGGGAGGGGTTGTTGGATTACATCAGAATCAGCCTACTCTGACTCATCAGAGTGTGTGTGTGTGTGTGTGTGTGTGTGTGTGTGTGTGTGTGTGTGTGTGTGTGTGTGTTTGCGTGCGTGCGTGCGTGTGTGTGCACGTGTGAGCGCACGCTTTCTCCTCTCTATCTTTCTCCCTGTAGGTCCCTCTCTCGGTTGTTTTCAGTGCTCGGCTGTCACATGATAACTGTCAGTCCACAAATGGTTGCCAAGGAAGCTCTCTCAACCCTGACTCAAAGGTTGCCAGAGTTTCTAAAAGCAACTGTTTGCTGGTTTAACCCTGACAGCCAAACTTCAGGATCACATTGCTTTCATGTTGTTTGCATTAGCCTGGTATCATGAATAGAATGTAACAAAAATAAATGTGTCGTGACTGTCACATGTTTTGTGAGGTTGCCTGTTTGCATAACTCTGTAAATCTAGTCCATTCACTTCCTCTCACTTTGGGGGCCTTTCCTTAGCAAGCAACAACAGTCCCTTTGACAACTGATGCAAGCGGCAGTTTTCAGATACAGAAGAGCACTGTGCATTTGAGGTTCCTCAGCGAAGTTCTGCTGATGTATCTTTAACAAACATGTTCTCTGAAAAACTGTCCAAGGCATACAGACTTTCATTCACACTTAATACTCTCACTGTCAATGTCATAATTGCTTTCTATTTTATCTTTGTTCATACAAATGTTTGGTTAATGGAATCTTAGTATAATACCAACACCAATCAGTAGGCTATTTTCATTTGATCCGTGTGTTATTTTGTGTCCCTCTACATGCCTGATTTCTGTTTCTGCTACCATTATGTCTACTTTCCCCTCTTGCAGGTTGCTATCATAATAAAATGTCGTCTTCTCTTTAGAAAAATAGAATAAAATACCCTACTTTTTATGTTTTTCAATGTCTTTCAATCGTAACTTTTCAGCTGCATGATGCATTTGTAGTATGAGCAGCCCTACTTGGTGGTAAGTAGTATTATTACATGCAGCATTTCAACGGTCAAATTACTTAATACCAGAGGCCTCATTTATACTGGGGACGCTGGGACATATCTTCACCACTTTTGGATATTGCCAATTTTTTCCCCATCACTTTGCATTGGGATAATTTGTTTAAAATGTTCTGAAAATAGCGTGCATAAAGAATTGTACACTTTGACCAAGGTTTATTTGCACAAGAGCATGTACAATCTCAAAGACTGTTCACACTTTTTGGGAGTATTTCTGGTAACCCAAGTTGTGCGATTTGGACCTGTGACACGTTTAATATTAGTAATAATTGAATAGAGAATATTAAAGCAATTGTTGTTCCCGCTTGCAGCAGCGTAGCATATTACTGCACTTAAAAAAAGTTTTTCTACCAAAGTTGTTGGGGAAATGCTTGATACACTGTTATAACTTCACTAGACTTATAACATAAAGACAACATGGCACCTCTCCCATGTGGAGTTTGTGTTTTAGTAACATATTTGCTAATCCCAGTGGACTCTGCTCCATGTTACGTTCCCATGACAATGCCCATTTCCTGTATTGATGTTGGTTACATTATATTTTTCTTATAGGCTTAAAAATGTTATGTGATTTTTGTGTATGGCACTTTTTCATTTGACTACAAAACATAATATCTTATTAAATGTTTAGGTCATCCTTTTTACTATTTTAATGTCGTAATAATTTGAAGCATGCTTTCTAGTAGTAAAGAGATAAATAACAGAGATTAAAAAAAATACAAAGCTCTCTGGAAGCATGTTTCCATGAAGGTGATACTAGGAAAACAACACTTGCTTCATTATGCAATCATGCAAAGTGAGTTGTAAATGTGTGAATATGAGAAGGGGCACTTGATTATACTCTCACAAAAGGGAGCAGGCATGCGAGAGAGTGATTTCCATCTGAATGGAGGTTGACTTTCTTCACCAGAGGGGTTTAAGTGTGTTTTAAATGTTTTTTCAGGTTTCTGAAATGTGAATAAGGTTTTTTGCTGATTTATAAATGTTCTACTTGTTTATGAAAGGTTTTACTCCCTGCAATTAAATCTATTAAAATCATTAATTTAAAATCCATAAACCAGTAAAACCTTTTATATACCATGATCAACTCTTTCATCAACCAATCTATACTTTCCAAGTATATATATCACAGCTATTTACGGTATATATTGCACATAAGTAAGGGGTTGTGATTGCAAAGAAAATACAATATGTTTTAAGAGTTTTTTCAATACGAATATGTATTTGTTTCCTTCTGTGATCATAACCCTTAACATATTGAAACTGGTTCATGAAAGAGCTTTTACTGGTTTACAAAAATCGTGTTACTGGTTGACAAGATATTTACAGGTTTAATAAACAGGTTTTGAAAGGTTTATAAGAGGATTTAAAGGTTTCTTAATAAAATTGTAGGCCTTACTTCCTTGTTTGAGGTTTCACTGGTTTCTAAAACGTTTTACTGGTTTAGAAACGTTTTGATGGTTTGCACACGCTTTACTGGATCATGAAAAGGTTTGAACTACATTAAGCGCCACCCGCAAACAATACATACATACATATGCAGACATTACTTTTTATGACAACTAGTGCAGTAACTATGCTACGCTGCTGTAAGCGGGAGCAACAATTGCTTTAATATTCGCACCACTTGGGTTACCAGAAATACTCCCAAAAAGTGTGAACAGTCCTTGAGATTGTACATGTGCTCTTGTGTAAATAAACCTTTGTCAAAGTGTACAACTCTTTATGCATGCTATTTTCAGAACATTTGAAACATATTATCCCAATGCAAAGTGATGGGGACAAAATTGGCAATATCCAAAAGTGGTGGATATACAGTATATCCCAGCGTAAATGAGGCCTCTGGTATTAAGTAATTTGACCGTTGAAATGCTACATGTTAGAAGGACTGCATTTTCAGCAGAAACTCTGTCGCAAAGTGGAGAAGTCACCAGCAGAAGACACACTGCTCCCACAAACTAAGAGCATTATTCGTGAAAGATTTCACAGGTCTATAAGAGGTTTCAGCGGTTTATTAGACATGTTACGGCTTTGTTGATTTTAAAAGTTTAGGTTTTTAATGTTTTATTACAAGGTTTTCAAGCCTATAAGAGGTTTTACTGGTAGTATCTATAATGTTTTACCTTTATATAGATGTTTTTGATATGAGTTTGTAATTGTTAATGAAATGTTAAACTGCTTATTAAGGTTTTCAGTTTTTTAAGAGGTGTTAAAGTTGCTATGTTTCTAAAGTTTTACTCCATGCATTTTAATCTATTAACTAACATCTCATAAACCAGTAAAACCTTTTAAAAACCATTAACCACTCTTTCATTAACCAGTTTTCATCTGTTAAAAGGTCCCATGTCATGGCCATTTCTACTGATCATATTTCCATTGTTGAGGTCTACTAGAATAGATTTAAATTGTGCAATTTTTAAAACTCACATTGGTTTCTCATACAGCATTTCTGTATAGTATGTGTATTCACTCTCTGTCCTAAACGGCTTGTTGGAGCTCCTGCCCCCCTGCGATCCCAACTCGTATGACCAGCGTTCAGGGAGCTCTATGCAAGTCAATGGGACTCCCTGTTAGTTAGCCAAGGGATCCTGGTGTGTGAGGTGCTCCGCGGATTGATCCATTTGGACCAATCCGGTCATTTGTTGTTGATTTGGGTGTTCACACGTCAGAGAACCCAGGAAGAAAACAATGGAAAATGAGAAATCTCCAACGAGGCGTTTTGGGGCAGCATAACAGGTATTTTCTGTGTTAGAGTTTTACTCTCTACAGGGTGTACTTTGAGGGTTTTTGACTCTGCAGACCGTTTACATGCAGAAAAAGCTTCATAACACACAAGGGGACGGGTAAT